ATGGCTCATAAATTTATTAATGTCACTAATGGAGTTACACCAAGAAGATGGATCAAACAATGTAATCCAGCTTTAAGTCAAGTGATTACTGAAGCAATTAAAACTGATGAATGGGTATCTAATTTATCACTTGTCAAAGGTCTTGAGAATGTATTTAACCATGAGTTGATTGAAAAGTTCATTCATGTTAAACAACTTAACAAAGACAGATTAAAGAGACTTGTTTTTAGATTGACAGATTCTAAAGTTGTATTAGACAGAAATGCATTGTTTGATGTTATGGTCAAGAGAATTCATGAATATAAGAGACAATTGTTAAATCTCTTTGGTACTATTCATACATATCTTCAAATCAAAAAGATGACACCAATGCAAAGAATGAAACTTGTCCCAAGAGTAAAAATCTTTGCAGGAAAAGCTGCCATTGGATATGACATGGCTAAAGGAATTATTAAGTTAATTAACTCTGTTGCTGATACTGTAAACAATGACCCAGAAGTAGGAAATTTATTAAAGGTTGTTTTCATTCCAAATTACAGTGTTTCATTGGCAGAAGTTATTATTCCAGCAAACGATATTAATGAACAAATCTCAACTGCTGGATATGAGGCATCTGGAACTTCTTGTATGAAGTTTGTTATGAATGGAGGACTTATTGTTGGTACATGGGATGGTGCTAATGTTGAAATTGCAGAAGAAGTTGGAGAAGAAAATATGTTTATGTTTGGAGCTAAGGCATATGAAGTAGCAGGAATTCGTGCTAACCCAATTCCAATTAGTAAAGACCTTGCAGAAGTATTAGCTGCTATTGACAATGGAATGTTTGGTGATGCCTCAATTCACAAATTTGTTATTGACCAATTCCGTGGAGGAAGTGATTATTATTTGGTCTGTAGAGACTTTGACGGATACGTCAAGGTCCAAGAACATATTGATTCAGTTTGGAAAAACCCACAAGAATGGACCACCATAATGTATTAGATGTGTTGCTCTGTATGGGTAAATTCTCAT